AAATGGACCTATTCCGGGATTCCGAGTTGGCCTGTCCAACCGGGACCGTGACCCCCAAATGAGAAGCACCCAGCTGGCACTGGACCCTTGGTAGACTAGAAGTGTACCAGGTCCGGTGAGATGTGCCAGGCCGTGCAGCGACCCTCGGTTACATGAGCCACAGTCAAGACTCGAGGCGATAGTTATGAACAATCCCAGCGGATATCTACCTATATTCTTTACATGGCCTTGGGTAGACTTGTTTGCTTCAAAAGGGTTTTCAGTGTGACATGGGGTAGCCTTCCGCTCCCCTTCACATTGCCTTGTGCTCAGCTTCCCGCTTCCCCGCTCGGAGCCTTCGGGCCTTAGAAAGTGTCGCGGTTTTTTTCCGGTTTTCCTGCACTTTGCAGCCAAGCTGTCACTCTGTGCAGGCGGAGTCTGGTACAGAATTCCAGATGAAGCTCGGCTTGCGGTCAAAAAGTCTGGCAAGAATTCAAGGAGATTGTTGCGATTGTGGAAACCCATATCCAGATTTGTGCGGAAGGGCCGGCTCGAGAAGCCGGGAAGCATGACAAACTACTCTTCTAGGACTCCCCCCACCAGTCAGGTTTCATGGACTTTGTTTCGCCCAGCACGTTGAATCCAGCGATGGGCCCTGAAAACTTCTTCCATTTGCTTAAGAACTTGTTATTTTCCCTTGCTGGTTTTACAGGGAATTTATCACTACTGGATATTGTTTCATTTTTCCAGGGACCGTAAGCAAATGGAAGTCTTAGCAAGCTCAGAGCGGGCATTGGCCAGAACATGTGGGATGATAGTAGCATGGGGCTTGCTCAAGATTGTAGGAATCGGACCCCCCCCCCCCCCGCAAACAAATCGCAAACGCGCCATGGCGCCCCCGTTGGTGTCCCTTTCAGCCAAGCCCAAACGCCCAACCATTGTTTTAACGCTGGCAAAAGAACAACAACAACAACAGAACAAAACAATACAAGCCAAAACAGAAGAGACGTCGTCCCCTTGCAAGCCTACCAAAAACGAGCCCGGGTTGACCTGCATCAAAATGAAGAACCAAGCGCGGGTTTTCGGAAACGGTTTTCAATGAAACCCCTCCGAAGAAGCTTTCATGATTCCCTTTAAGCTGCCATTTCCATTGTGTAAAGGACGAATTTTGGGGGGGTGGTTGTGGATCTCAATACCATACTAGCCAAGTTGCTAAGGCAGCTCTCAAAATGATGAGACTGTTTCGGTGCCCCTTTGAAGTAGCCTCAACACAAGTAGCCGGGGCGGGGAAGCAAAAAGACATCCTTTTGAGTCGTCCATCGCATTGCGGAAACGAAGATTCGCGGCCGAGCCAAAAAACTATGTGTCAGTGTCAGCCACAGTTGGCAGCTCCATTCTGGGGACGGGCATGGTCTGAATGCCCTGGAACCAATTTGACAAAAGCTGGGTCCCTTGGCCCCTTGGTGAGGACCCTTGGTCCCATTTTGAGCTCGGTCGACCATGAGCCCTTGGCGCGGATTTCCGAGCTCGGTGAAAACGTTGGCGCTCAGCCCCGAAAAGTCAACCCTGAATGGGGTCTCCTCATTTTTTCGGACATCAAATGGCTGTGGCTCAAAAAACCAGAAAATTCCAAAATGGGTTGCCCTGGAAAGTGGAAGCATGGTTGCCAAAACCTGCGGTTTGCCCCTCCGATCGTTTAATTTTGAGAACCACACCCAAATGAGCTTAGGAGAACAGATCTGGGCCAAGGGAAAGCGCTAGACATAAGAAATGCCGCAAGAGTTGCAACTCCTTCTCGCCACCCTTTGGGTACGCGAGCCGAGGGCCGAGGGTGGCCGGGTGCCGTTCTGGGAATTGGGGGGACACCTGAAATCTGCAGGTCGTGACTTAACTGACCCGCAAGTGGCAGTGGCTAAACTGCTAAGCCCTCCCCATTGTCTTTTCCGCCACCTATGTTTGGAGTTTTTTTAGAATTGGATTTTTTGCTTGAAGGGGCAGGGTACTTGTTCATTAAGTGGATAGTAAGCCTGGTGATAACCCACTAAACAGAGACTTATAACCATGGCTTTTGCGGGTGACCATGGTTATGACCCACTTCCTAAGTGAGTCACAATCAAAACTCGGTACAACAATGGTCAACACAGAGCCATGTAAAGAACTAAGAAGGCGGATATTCGCCTATTTATGGTTGGGATTGTCCCTTACCAACCTTCATCTACCCGAATCGGTTTTGATTATGGCTCAAGTAGGGTGCACCTTCATTTACGCCAAGGGGTCGAAGCTCAACGACCGTTGAGGCGTCGGCTCTTTTTTTCGCGGGCGTCGAGGCTCGCGTGACTCGCCATGGGGCAGTGCAACTCCAGCTCGGCCATCTCAGTCAGCGCGGTGCCAAGGGGTGCTGACCCCCAGATTCATCAACCCAAGTTGAGTCACAATCAAAGCCGATTCGGGTAGATGAAGGTTAGTAAGAGACGATCCCAACCAAATTCTTGAAGCATGGTTCTGGGTAAACCATTCTTGTACCGGGTTTTGAGTGTGACTCCCAGCAGCAGCAGCAGCAGCAGCAGCAGCAGCAGCAGCAGCAGCAGCAGCAGCAGCAGCAGCAACAACAACAACAACAACAACAACAACAGGGGTTGGGTACCCTCCAACTAATAAAGTGCAAAAAGGCCCTTCTCAAGAGGAAAGTAGTCTTACAGGGGTCTGTGCACAAACCCATGTTAGTTGGGTTGAGTACTCTGGGGCCAACCTTCCGGGTGTCACATTCTCTTTGCATTTTGCCAAGGGATGTCAAGACTTTAACTTTTGGCCAACTGACTGTCAGTCAAAACCAACGGTACCATTTTGCGGTAGGTGCACCACCCATTTTAGTGTATTTTGGTAGGGATTGGGATGTTCACTGGGGGTACGGGGTTTTGACCCTGGCCAACTAATGGGTTTTCCATATTTACCACTAAAAGTCAATTTTTTAGCAGAGCAGCAAGCAACCGAGATTCGGGGTGTCTCATTTTTTTGCCGGTTTTTCGGGGTCTAAGCCAGTGGCCGTCCTGTTGTGGACTTAGGCCAGGACCTGTCGCCCCGCGGGGCGATGCTTTGCCGGGGAAGTGACGGGGCCAAGTACGTGGAGCATGAGGATTTGCAGTACATGGAGCCTTGGCAAATTCGTTGTTTCCTTGTCTAGGTCCCCCAGTAGTGCCCTTTTACCCTTTCTTGGGGGAGGGTTCCCCTACTAAAATAGACTACAGAAAAAAGGTTACCCTTATTCTAGCCTCTCTGCTGGCGGACCTAGATGATCTTACTGCTGATTTGTGAACAATGGTGGCTACTGGTTACCAGTGTTTCAATTAATGGTGGCTTGCATCCCGGGAGTTCTGGTGGGCCCCACACTGGGAATATCACAGGTTACAAGCAAACTTCAAAAACAGCGTGCAGATCTACATTAATTACAGTGTGCAAGCACGGTCTCCAAACAAAACATGGCCAGACGTAACTTTCCCTTTTGCCCAGTTTCCCTTGCGGGTGTCCTTAACTTTCCCTTTCAACCACTTGGCCAAGCAAATAATGATGAGGCATGAGCGCTAAGCTCTAATTCTTGAGCTCATGCTTCCGCCAATTTGCCACTTGAACACAAATGACCTCAAGTCCTGGTGGCATTCTGGACTCCTTCTAGAACTGGATCTGGATTTGGGGCTTGATCTTTTACATTGGATGAGCATTGTGGGAAGCCACTAAAAAGATGCTATGTCCCACATGGGACAAGTTACGCATGGTCAAAACTGGGGGCCGAAGCTACGAGGGTTTGATCCAAACCCCCCCCTTTTGGATGGATGCTTGGTTCCCTTGAACGCCAAGTCCCACTGGACTTTCCATAGTGAGCCGATTTCTTCGAGGTCCAAACCGCTTGATGCTTTGGGACATGCCTTTGGCCACTCCTCGTTCTGGAGTCCTTCGGATGACCTGGGAAATTGGCTTTTCCACGGCTGCAACAGGTCCCTTAGGTGCTTAGTACGCCTGGTTACACTCCACTGACCGGAGACTTATAGCTCATGGCTTTTGTGGGTCAGAACCATGGTTATTACCCACATGTTGACCCCATATTCATCAACCCCAGTTTTTGAATAGGGTTTGGCCCTGGATAACATGTGGGGGATCAGACCACTTTTGGAGGGGCCAAAACCACCCCCTACTGTGGCTGGACGAACTCCTGCAGCACTTTGAAACCATGGTTGAAACCAATTGTTGGTTGCTATTTGCAGAATCGAATCATTCCCTGCTGTTTCTCAGGTTCGATTTCTGGGTTTCGCAACCACAGTACTACTTTGGTGCATTTTGCCAAGGGATGTTAGGACCGAACAACTTTTTTTGCCAACTAATTTGGGTTTTCCGTATCAAGCCACCATAAGTTAGTGCAACACTTTTCGCAGGGGCTCGCAGAGTTCGCCGCCGAGATGAATAAACCGGTGGGTCAAGATGGCTCCGGGGTCAAAAGATACGCACCCGATCGACGTCGGAGCCTGGGCTCCTTGCGATCGTTCGCGTAGGGAGCGCAGTTGGTGTTGAAAGTGGACATGTTTTTTCTGATGTTTTCCAGTGGCTCCCTTTTTCCATCCTTTTTTTCCAACCTTTTTCCAGTGGCTCCGATTCTTTTTCCCACTTTTTTTTAGCGGCTGCCCCACTAAAATGGTCCAAGCCCAAAAAGGATTCCCTTTTTTTTCCAGGGTCGCTGAACAGCTGAGTTTCCTATGTGGCTGTGGCTCAAAAAACCGGTACCAAAATGGGTTACCCTGTTAAGTGGAAACATGGAAACCAACACCTGCGGTTTGCCCCTCCCGTTTAATTTTGAGCCACACCCATGTTTTCCAGCGGGCGAACATGAATATGTGTGATTTTCCCTTGTAAAGGGCATCGATCTCACTGCTGGACATATATACTTCTTCATATTGGACATATGTTTTCCTATTCTTTCCAGGCGGGGGAAAAAAAGAAAAAAACAACGACAAAAAACACAGATGGACGCCTAGGAGCCCGTGCAGAGCTTCAGATCCATGGACGCGGAGCAAAGTGCCAGGGCCATGTCAGGCGGTCCGCCCATGAAGGCGACCCAGACGCGGCACATGGAGCGGCTGAACCGCCCCTCGAAGGGAAACTTGTTCTGGGGATACCTTCCATTTCCACTTCCAATTCTAGGGGTTCCTTTCCAGAAACAAAACGGATTTGGTTTTTGAGAAGTTCCCGGGTGATTCCTTTTCCCCATTCGTTTGAACCATGGTTCTTTTCAAAATCCAGATCCGTTTTCCCTGGGTTTCTTGAAAGGAACCCCTAGAATTCTTGGAAATGGAAGGTACCCCTAGACTTTGACTAGTTTCGGGCGTTGGGCAGGTCCTTTAGCTTCGGTGAAAAACATCGGATTGACGGTTGATCAATCCGTCCCATCGATCGCAAAGCCGAGGCTTCCTGAAAAGTGTCGAAGACAACAACGCTGTGCTGCGGGGGGAAGTGCTTAGCCGCAGATTGGAACTTTGAGATGGTTCAAAGTTGCCGGCTGTTCGGATAGGAGTCCCTTTTGTTCATCCGCCCCAAAATGGAGGCATAGGTTATGACCCATGGCCATGTTTGTCTTGACGCAAGTGCACAAGAGGCCTGTAGAAAGAAGTTGTTTCATCTTTGGAAAGGGGCTTTGTGCACTTCCACGTCAGTTTGTGGAAGAGCAGATGCACGCGAGATCGACACGGCACCCATTTTTTCTTTGAGCCGCAAGTGAGCAAGAGCCAACGAGGATTTGTAGTGCATTGGGGTGGCATCGGAGGGATGCCAGGTATTTCCCGAGAGCTATGTTGCCTGTGCTTGCGATTTCCCGCCAGCCAGCACGCGAGCAATCAACCAGCCATCCTGCCTGCCAGCCAAACACCAAGCACCAACCAAGCAGACGAGCAACAAAGCAGAGCAAGCAGCACTCCCAATCCAAGCCTGAAGCCGAATCGGCCAAATCCCCACCCTCACACAAAGAACCACTCAAGACCTGCAGACCTGAATCCGCTGGCCCAAAGCCCCAAAAATGGATCTGTCTTTGCTTGGTGGCTCCCAGCACATGGTTGTTGTTGGGAAACATTTTTTTTTTTTTTACATTTTTGCTTATTGTGGTTCAGTGGTTGAAATCCAGCCACTTAGCTGCTAAAATTTTGAATTGTAGCTCCCCTTGCAACGTCAACCAAGAGCATCCCCTTCGCCTTTTAGCGTTTTAGTGTTTAGCGGTAGTTTTCATTTAACCCGCTAAAAGTTAGTCACTTTTGGCGGGTGATTTGAGGGCAGCCCTGTTTGTTCGAGGGTACCTCTTTTGCCGTTGACAAAGGGAAGCCCAAAGAAAACCCACCATCTTGGGGGGTGCACCCTCAAGAAAGACAAGCCCACAGTTCCAACTCTACCCTAAATGTCATAAATCCAACACTAGTCTGACAGAACCCTTAGCCCGGACGCAATCAAACCAGACCTACCCTGCCCCCACCACCCTAAACCAATCCTTATCAAACCCTGAACCAACCTGAAACTGACCAAAAACCAGCCTGAACTCCACCCTGAAACCCTGAAAGGACCAACCCTAACTTCATTGCGAGCCAACCCTAAGCTTACCCTTCACCCTCACCCGCGGAAGCAACACGCGCAGAAGCAAGCACGCAGCCGGAAAGTGGGAATAAACACACGGCCGGTTGGGAATTCAAGTGGAAAAGGCCAAAGCACCGCGGACATACGTCCCTTTGACTTTTCAATGGGCAAGGAATCACCCAAAGAACCCAACAGCCTTTTCGGACAGGGAGGAACACTCCAAAAAGTTGTCCTGGCGAAATGCTGGCAGTGTGCCCTATTGAGTCTATCGTTTGCTCACATGCGACCATCCCATGCCCAGCGTTTTGGATGCTTTCGAGCGCCAGAGGGCGTGCATTAAACTGGGGCAGAGTGCCTTTGGAGAAGGCGTCGCTAGCGCCCAAAACCCTATTTGGTCAAATTGCTCGGTAACGCCCAGTTTGCAGTCATGGATTCCATAGCCAAACAAACCTCCGACCAAGTCAATAGGCTTTGGGCGCTTCTGTCAGTTTCCTTTTGAGACCGACTGCCCAGTTTAAGAGCCCCGACTTTGAATGGGGCTGGTTGTCTTGAGCGACACCCATCGAGTCTTAGCCGGGATGCAGCGATGGTGTGTTATCAGTGTTTCCGAGCGGATGGGCCATCGGTTTGCGCTTATGGTCGGTGTACTTGCAGTACAGGATCTCTTCTGAATGGTGGGTGTATCTTCCGCTCACATGCGACCGTCCCATGCCCAGCGTTTTGGATGCTTTCGAGCACCAGTGGGCGTGCATTAAATTGGGGCAGAGCGCCTTTGGAGAAGGCGTCGCTAGCGGTTTCCTTTTGAGACCGACTGCCCAGTTTAAGAGCCCCAACTTTGAATGGGGCTGGTTGTCTTGAGCGACACCCATCGAGTCTTAGCCGGGATGCAGCGATGGTGTATTATCAGTGTTTCCGAGCGGA